TAGTCAGAAACAGAGGGACAGACATAGAATGACTGCACTCCTTTGTGGAAAATAAAGTAATATAATAGGAGACCAACACCTAAGGACAGTAGAGGTAAGGGCCAGGAGGATTGCTCTAGGGCTCAGAAAATGGCCTCACATGCTGGGAAAAAGGCAGCCAGGATAGAAAAGGGACCACTAAGTAAATGATGGTTGGAGGGATCACTTTGGATGAGAGATGTGTGCTGAGGGTAGTCTATGGACCAGCCATGATGGCCTCTTAGTACCTGTATTGCAAACCATAACACTCAAAAGGAGAGAGAGAATAAGAAGGAATGTACTGCCACAGAGGCAGGGGGTGGGATGGGGTGGGGGTGTCGGGAGGGATACTGGGAACAATGGTGGTGGAGAATGGGCACTGGTGGAAGGATGGGTGCTCAATCATTGTATGACTGAAACATAATCATGTAAGTTTGTAACTGTATCTCATGGTGATTCAATAAAAAATAAAAATAAAGTTCTCTTATACATGACTTAGACATTTTCTGTTTTTAAAAATCATAACTAGACAAAATTTTAAGATTTAATCTACTTCAAAGCTAGTGAAACTCTAAACAAAAACATAAGCCATGAAGCAGTGTAAAAATCAAGGCCTTAAAAATGGTATCAGTACATGGAATGATTCATAATAAAAACTAGTTTCTTGTTTTTAAAATATCTGACTTACTCAGAGTGTAAAAAAGTCAAGATCATGATGCTTCAAAGTGATGGATAACAGATTTTTTTGAAATTCCAAATAGCCCCCAAATATCATCCTGGGAGCTGGAGTGATAGTTAGTACCAGTCAGTAGGGTACTTGCCTTGCACAAGGCACTGGGTTAATTTCCAGCATCGCAAATGGTCGCTGGAGCAGCACCAACAGTAATTCTGTAGTGCAGAATCAGGAGTAAGCCCTAAGCATCTCCAGATTTACCCCCTGCCATCTCCCCCAAAAGTCCCTATACAAATTTAAGATGTTACTTTTTTTCCCAATGTTTTCTTCTTTTCCTTTTGGCTTTTGGGTCACACCTGGCTGTCCTCAGGCTTACTCTTGACTCTGAGCTCAGTGATTATTCCTGATAAGGGACCACATGGGGCCCCGCGGATAGCACCTGGGGAAGTTGTGTGCAAGGCAAGCACCTCAACTGTTGTATTATCTCTCTAGCCCCTGGATAATACATTTTTACGCAAAAGAAACACATAAGGCCTATGTGTATAGGGCACAGAAGAATTTAGAACAATGCTCAAGGGCTGGAGCTATAGCACAGTGGGTAGGGTTTTTGCCTTGCACACGGCCGACCTGGGTTTGATCCCCGGTACTCCATATGGTCCCCCAAGCACCGCTAGGAGTAATTCCTGAGTGCAGAAGCCAGGAGTAACCCCTGAGCATCACTGGGTGTGACCCAAAAAGCAAAAACAAAAACCAAAACACAAAACAATGCTCCAAGCAGCTTATTGCCATGTTCAATACATAAAGTACAGTCTCCTGAGCATTGTCAGGAAAAGCTCTGGGTAGGCAGTGGGATAGGGGTGCGGGGGGAGGAAGGTGCGTGGTCAAGAACTACAGGATGCTAGGGGTATGGTGCCTCCAACAGGTCAACCTGTACCTGCGGGGTGAGTGTGTCAGCAGCCTGATGGTGCCTTCAGGCTTTCTGACACCCCAAAATTGCCATTGTGCATTTGGCCGGTCCCCAACAACTTGGGACCAAGTTTGCCAAGAAATTAAACAGCCAAAAATTAGGTATGTGGAAGTCACACCCACAAACCACCTCTGGCCCAGCTATACAAGCTATTTATTGGCCTTATTTCAGAGACCCATAAATCTCAAAAGAGATCAAAAGTCACAATTAAACTCAGACCTGCGTATGGCTGAATGGACTGGGGTAAATCGGAGGGGACAGGTTGGCTTCATGGCCTGCTCAAGCAGAGATCCCAGCAGCCGTTTGCTTCCACAATCAAAAATCACTGCTATAACCCCAGCCTGACTCCACCATCTCAAGACAGACCTCACCAAGACATAATCTGCTGAAAATTCGGATATGTGGGTTTTGTGACTGAAATCTCCAGGCTTTCATGGAGTTGGAGTGGGCTACCTTCCCCCACTTCTCAATACACATGGAAGCACTGGCAGTCACCCCCATGAACCAACTCCAGTGCCACCCTGTAAACTCTATTACTGGCCTTGCTTCAGAGACCTCTAAGTAAATCTCGAAAGAGATCAAAACCAGAGACACAGCAACAAGTCCTGGAAGACACCACAGAGCCAAAGATCTCTCCGGGCCCCATACTGAGCCAATTTTTCCAGGGCACCCCAGATGGAGCAGGAGCACTCTCCCTGTCTACTCCATATGGAATCCCAGCGACCAAGAATTTCCACAAGCAAGGCCCAGGTATGCGATTCCAGGACTGAATCTCCAGGCCATGAAGCCTGATTGTCAGCATGGCTGTAACACCCACAATGTGCCTCTAGGCACCATCTTAACACACCAACAGCCCTGGTCCAGAGACTCACAATTGAATCCAAAAATGGATTAGTGCCCTACAGAAATGTCTCTGGATCCCAACCATCTACAATCTAGGATTCCAGAAGCATGCAGGCCACAGCACCCATGATATTCAAAATAAGCAATGGACAATAGATGATCTAGCATCTGTCCCTGGCAGGTAGGCTTGAATGGTGGTGGAAAAATTTGAGCAAAACATAATGCCCAAAAGTTAGAGGAAGAGTATTGGGGAAATTGCCTGCCATGGAGGCAGGGTGAGGACTGGGATGCAGGCAGATATACTGGGGATACTGGTGGTGAAAAGTGTGCACTGGTGGAGGGATAGGTGTTGGATCATTGTACGGCTGAATCTCAAACATGAAAGGTTTGTAACTGCATCTCACGGTTGCACTGTAGCACTGTCCTCCCATTGTTCATCGATTTGCTAGAGGGGGCACCAGTAACGTCTTACAACAAACTGTGAGACTTGTTGTTACTGTTTTTGGCATATTGAATACATCACAGGTAGCTTCCCAGGCTTTGCCGTGCAGACGAGATACTCTTGGTAGCTTGCCGGGCTCTCCGAGAGGCACAGAGGAATCGAACCCGGGTTGGCTGTGTGCAAGGCAAATGCCCTACCTGCTGTGCTATCGCTCCAGACCATCTCACTGTGATTCAATAAAAAAAAAAAAAGTAATGTGGAGTTCACGCCCAATTCAATCAGCTAAATCAATGGCTAAATAAATAGCAGTACTCCTACATTAATAAAAAAGAAAAAGAAAAAACTACAGGATGTGGGCCAGGTGGTCTGCAGTGCAGCAGTTGAGCATTACTGAACCCCCAACGTGGAGGGGCCTGGGTACCTGAGCACCATCTGGGAGCCTCCCAAAATAGTAGGAATAAATACCAAACGGGGAATAATGTGTTAGCAACATGAAAGGCTTCTTAATTTATACAGACATATGATAGAATCAATTCTGTCTCTTACCTTCATAATGAAAACCCTTCAGTGGCATTTTGCTTCCCATTAACCATCTTGAAAAGACACTATTTTAAAAAAGCCTTTTATCAAACATTTCAAGCATCTTACATTTTAGTGCTTTTGTTCAATACAATGAAAAGCCAATACAATTTCTTTATAGAGACTCAAGACTCTTTGTATTGGAAAACAAACAGTCCCTCTTGGTAAATGTTGTGTTTAAAGCTCTGTGAAAAGACAAATGAATACTCACAGGCTTAACAAAACAGCTAGTTGGTTGAAACACAGTATCAGACAATTTTTTCTCCAGATGCAAAAATACCTAAAAAAATAAATACTATAGATTAAGGCTTTTTAAGAAAGGAAAGGAAAACGATTCCTTATAGATTTACCCATTTAGAGGAAGGCGAAGTCCAAGAAAACTCTTAAGAAGCACCCTTTGGGTGCTGAACAGCTGACAAGGTAATGTCGCCTGTTTTGGGGGAAGAATTTTATTTTTCTTTCATGTCTATGAAAGTTTAGGAAAGGAGCAAAACCTAAACGTTCCTCAAGGAAATTTGCAGCTTTGAAATGTGTGTTGATGGCCTCCAGAAGGAAGACCCTTAAAGTCCAAAGGTCTCTGTAGGGGTCTCAGTTTCTGTAACTTCGATTTTGTTTTGTTCTCAACATAAAACTCCTGTAACTTAAACTGGGTTTACAGAGAACAGCCAAAGAACACTGCAGAATACACAAGCTCTGCCTCCCCAGGCAGCTCAAAGCGAGGAGCGCATCCTGGCATGTTAAGTTCTGGGCTTCATCCCTGGTACCACATGGATCCTCAGAATCTTTGTGATTGTGTGTGTGTGTGTGTGTGTGTGTGTGTGTGTGTGTGTGTGTATTTAAAAAAAAACACAGAGAGATCAAGATATTGGAACATTTTAGGTTTAGGGTATGGATCTCAGCATTCCTTAAACACGTAGGAAGAACACTAGACCATCTTCAAGTTCTTTTTAGAGTGTTTCAGGTTCTAAGGATCTGAAATTACAAAAGAAAAAAAACCCAGTGTCCTCAAACCCAATTTATCCCAGAGCTGAGTTGCAGCCCAGTTATTGTCGTTTCTCCAGTTCTCAAACCCTTACAAACACGCTTCTCGGTTTAGTTGAGGGAACTGCAGCGGGGCTGCGGATGGGGGGGATGCCAGCTGCTGTAGGGGCCCTGCGCTGGCGACCCCAGCACGGGCAGGTCTGAGCCCAGCGGGAGCGTGCCCGAGAATCTCCCGGGACCGCAAGGCGCGCGGCACCGCGACCCACTTCTCGGGGACACGCTGCCGCCGCTGCGGCGCGCCCATGGACCTCCCCGGGCCCCCTCGGGACGCGTAGCCCCTTATCACTCCGTGGGGGGCGAGGGGGCGGGGGAAGCCCCGGGCCGCGGGGGACGCCGGGAGCGCGGCGCTCTTGACCCGGAAGAGCTGGCGCGCGGCGACCCGGTTGCCCTGGCAACCGCGTGGGCGTCCTCCGCGGCCGCAGAGCGCCCGGCCCAGGATGCCGCTGAGCGTGAGCGGGTACAGCTGGCAGCAGACGCCGGCCACCGTCTCGCTGTCCGTGCCCCTCCGCGGCGTCTGCGTCAGGGACGCCGACGTGTTCTGCACCGAGGACTACCTGAAGGTGGGAGGCGACCCCGCGGGGACCCGGCTGCGGGGCCACCCCCCAGAGGCGCCGCCACGTGCGAGCCCTGCTGGAAAACACAACACAGCACAGCACAACACAGCACAGCACAACACAACACAACACAACGAAAACGTCCATGAAAGATCATGCACATTTGGGGCTGGAGCGACAGCGGGTAGGGCCTTTGCCTTGCACGCGGCCTACTAGGGTTCGATTCCCGGCATCACATATGGTCCCCTGAGCACCGCCAGGAGTAACTCCTGAGTGCAGAGCCAGGAGGGACCCCTGAGCATCGCGGGGTGTGACCCAAAAAGCAAAATAATAATGCACACTTTTTACAGGTGACACGCAGGTCCCTGTAAACAGGTGTCGATGCCACCCGGCGTTGTTGTGCGGCTTTCCTCATATGCCCCATGAGCTGTCGCGGCTTGGGGTCGGTTTCCAGCAGGCATTTAGGCTTGTGTGGTGAAGGTTCTCTTTAGGGCCAGGGAGATAGTGCAGCGTGCACCCCACCCGCTCCCCTGAGCACCCCCAGGAGGGAGCCCCGAGCGTCGCCGGGTTTGGTCCCCAGAAAAGCACCAAAGGCTGTCGTTCATTGGTCTGCATCAGTTAACTTCCTCTCCCCTTCTTTTTGATCAGGTCAACTTTCCTCCCTTCTTGTTTGAGGTGTTTCTCTATGCCCCCATCGACGAGGAGCGCAGCGAAGCCAAGATCGGGAATGACACCATCATGTTTACCTTGTGCAAAAAGGAAGCTGCCATGTGGGACACCCTTTCTGCCTCCGGGGGTAGGTTCTTTGTTGTTTTTTGTTTGGGGGCCACATCCTTTTGTGCCCAGGGCTTACTCTTCGCCCTGCACTCAAGAATCATTCCTGCAGGGCTGGGGCGACCATGTGCAGTACAGGCACTCAAACCCGGGTTACCCACAAGCAAGGCCGGTGTCTTACCCGCTGGCCTCTCTCCCTGCTCCCAGGTAAGTTGTTTTTGTCAGAGACGTTCTTCTGGGTGCAGTCTTTGGAGCAGCACCTCTGAAGCCCTAGCTGTGATTTCGTCTCTACATTTTCCTGATTCCTGGTATCACTCAAAAATAAAAAGTTCTGCAGACTATAAACTTTCAAAAGTTCTACAAACTATTAATTTTTTTCCCCTTTTTGGATCACTCCTGGCTCTGCACTCAAGAATTACCCCTGGCCGTGCTCAGGGTAGCATATGGGATGCTGGGAATTGAACCCGGGTTGGCCGTGTGCAAGCCAAACGCCCTACCCACTGTCCTATCACTCCAGCCCTGAGCTGTGCTATCACTCCAGCCCTGACTATTAACTTTTAATATAAAACAACAAATTCCCAGGACCAGTCAAATCAGTTGTGAGGAGTGGGACCCAAGTGTTGATAGTTTTTCATTGATTTTTTTTTATTTATCTATTGGGGTGCTGTTGAGTCACACCTGTCTGTATTCAGGGCTTACTCCTAGCTCTGTGCTCAGGACAGACCCCTTTGCAATTCCAGTTATCAAACCAGGGCCAACCACATGAAGGGAAATGCCTTAACCCTGTACTATCTGCCTGGCCCTTGATAATTAAAAAAAAAAAGAATTTATTACAATATTGTTAATGATTTGTTCTTGTGCACTTAATTCCAACACAACACCCAGCACCAGTATATCCACCTCTCTCCCCCACGGACCCCAACATCCATTCAAACTCCTCCACCTCCTAACTCAGTTGTTTGGATCAGCTCTCTTGTTCTGTTGCCTTTGACCGTTGTTGCTACCTTGCTGTATGTATTTAAGGCCCACCTACAGAGGGATGATTTTGTCTCAATTTCTTTTCTTTGACTTCTCTCAGCATGAGATCCTCTAGTTCCATCCATATTGCAGCTTTGCTAGTTTTTAAAACAGCTTTACTGGGACTATAATTGGCAGTCAAAGTTGGCGATCCCTTAGTTCCTGCACTCGTGATCAGTATTCCTCTACATGCTTGCTTTCTTTGTTTTTATTTTTAATTTTTTGTCTTTTGGGGTCACACCCATCAGTGCTCAGGAGTTACTCATGGCTGTGCACTCAGGGATTACTTCTGACGGTGCTTGAGGGGCCATATGGGATGCCGGGAATGGAATCTGGTTTGGCTGTGTGCAAGGCAAATGCCCTACCCACTGTCCTGTCACTCCGGCCTTTTTCTATATGCTTTCTGATGCTTTATCTTTGCTGCCTGAAATCTTGTTAATGTTAAGTATAGACTATTGCATTGCTCTGGTCTCAGCATGGTGGTGGCTGGTTCTGGAGGTTTTTCTGCCCCCGCGCCTGGCTGCCCTCGCCGTGGCCCCTTGGAGGGGAGCGGGTTGAGTTTTCCTCCCCACCCCGACCAGGGCTCCAGCAGCCGAAGACCTCCAGAACCAGCCACCACCATGCTGAGACCACTCTCCGCACACATGAAGGTACCAGCAGAGGAACAAAGGCATGCGGGTCCCGGGGCTGAGATCTCCAAGCCTACTAGGATTAGGGCTGAGCATCCTCCACCCAGATCCTCCAAATTCCAGTAGGCAGGGGTCACACCCACCAACTGGCCCCCTGGCACCATGTAATCCCATCAACGGCCAAGACTCAGAGACTATAAAACCCAGCTCCCGGATCTCATTCCTACTTTGGACAAACTGGCAGGCTACCGAATGTAACCTGCGCACACGGCAGAGTCTGGCAAACTCCCCGTGGCGTACCCAATATGCCAAATACCAGTAACAATGATGGGTCTCCTTCTCCTAAAGAGCCTTGAATATGGCACTTTCTTAAAAATCTCAGGGATAGGATGAAGGAGACGTTACTGGGGCCTGCTCGAGGCAATCGACGAATAACAGGATGGTCGTGATCGTGATCGTGATTGCATTGTTCTTTCTGTTTAAATACTTATGTCACAAACACTTTCTTTCGTATCAAATTCCCTTCTTAACCTGGTTGGCCACCTCATTCAGGAGTGGAAATGGTATTTTCTTTCCTGCTCGTGATCTTCCTCTGTGGTACACATTTACTTTCATTGCATCGCTACTTGATTCTTCTCTTTCATGGTTATCAACAGTTCCTGATGTGTTCACCACTTTAAAAATATTTTAATGTTTTAGTGTAATTTTTACTAAAGGTTTAAACCAAAGATTGGCAACCTTTTTCTGTAGAGGACCAGGTTTTAATTTGTTGTTTTACTCGAAAAAGGTGTTTATTATGTTATCGTCCCACCCCCATTGTTGCTGATGTTGTGATGGCCGTGAATTGCACATGTGCATGGCTGTCACCGGGGTTTACTTTCCTTTAGCTGTGCTCACCTGTGCTCAGCACGGTCCCAGGTTAGTGGAGACCCACAGGTGTGGTCGTGGTGCTCACAGGGTTCACTGCAGTGCTCAAAGTGCTCAGTAGGGGTCCCCCTTCCTCTTTGGAGTCGCATTGCTTATAGAGGTCACACCCCTTTTTTGTGTTGCTTATACATGTGCTTATACATACCTGACTGGAAACAGTTTGTGGTCCTGGGATCACAGACAGCAGAGCTGCCAGAACTGCGCTTGACACATGCACGGCAGGCACCCTGTCTGTTACACTATCAGCCGCCAAGCTTTTCTTTTTTTTTCCTTAAAAAAGTTCTGTTTTATTGTTAATCTAACATGGTGACAGTGTGTTAATACTTTTGCTTTTGGTGTACAAAGTTAGTGTGCCTCCATCACCACAAAAATGCGGAAGGGAACCCCCCCCCCCCACTATCTCAAGAAGTGATTTTTTCAAATATATACATTGTTTTAGGTTGTTAGAATAGTGCTGAAATGTTTTGCTGCACAAAATTCCTTCTCCCACCACCACCACCACCACCACCACCAATGTGCCCGTGAATCTCCACTACCGTCACTCTTTCCTTTGGTGTGCCCTTCCCAGGCTGAGAATTCACCCTTGCTAATCAGTGTGGTGTTCCAAGGCTGGGGGGTTGTTATTGTTCATGACTATCATGTGGTCTCTCTATTCCCCAGATGAGTGAGATCACACAGTATTTATTCTCTCTCTGACTTGATTTCAGTTAACTTGATACCCTCCAGTTCCATCCAATTTGCTACATTGTTGGATTCAGTTCACTGCGATTTTATGGAGGATCTTTGGAATTGATATTTATTAGAGATATTGGTCTTTCATTTTCTGTTTTAGTGAAAGTTCTACGTGTTTTTGGTATCAGAGTAATATTGACTTCATAGAAACTAGTAAGAAGGATTCCTGTCACTCTGATATCTTAGAATAACTTAAAGACTATAGGCAGTAAATCTAAATTTTCTCTGAATTTTCAGTAGAACTCAATAGTGAATCTGTCTGGACCAGGTCGTTTTGTTTTTGTGGAGACTTAAAATTACTGTTTCAACGCCCTTATTTGTAATTGGTCTGCTCATACTTTCTATCTCCTCCTGACTGAATGGTTGCATGATTTTAAGAAACCGTTTCTCTTAGATTCTCCACATTGACATTGATGGCACAGTAACTTCTTATCTGTTTTTTTTTTTAGTTATCTTGTATTCACTCCCCTTTCATTACTGATCTCATTTATTTGGATTTCTTTCCTTTTTTGTCTTCATTAGTCTAGCTAAGGATTTATCAGTCATGTTTATTCTGTAGGGGGAAAAAAAACAGCTCCCCCAGGGTTGGAAGATAGCACATCAGGTAGGGCACTTACCTTGCATGCAGTGGACCACGTGGTTCCACGAACCCAGCAGGAGATATTTCTGAGTGCAGAGCCAGTATAAACCCCTGAACATCATATAGTATAGTTCAAAAACAAACAAACAAACAAAAAAGAAGACAGCTCCTGTATTCTTTAACCCTGTGTATGGTTTTCTTGATTTCTATGTCATTGGTCCTGCTCTGATTTTGTTTTGTTTTGCTTTTGGTTTTTAGGCCACACCCAGTGATGCTGAGGGCTTACTCTGGGAACTGCACTCAGGGATCACTCCTCATAGGAGGTGCTGGAGATCCAACCTGGGTCAGCCACTTGCAGGGCGAGCACCCTGCCCATTCTACCATCTCTCCAGCCCCCTCTGATCTGATCCTTATTATTCCCTTGCTTCTGCTTTGGGATTAATTTGTTCTTTTTGTAGTTCTCAAGCTGAGATGTTAAGTCATTGATTTGAGACTTTTCTCTTTTCCCAGTGTAAGTCTGCATTTCTTTGAACTTCCCTCTTGGTGCTGGTTTTTCTGGGTCCCATAGGTTCTGGTAGTTTGTGTTTTAATTATCACTCAGTTTGAGAAATCTTTTTTTATTTCTTCTTTAATTTCCTCTTTGATCCGGTTGTTATTTAGCAACATATTGTTCAATCTCCAAATGCTGACGCTTTCCACATCTTTCTTCCTGTGATTAATTTCTATCTTCATGGCACTGTGGTCTGAAAATATGCCTGATAAGATTTCTATTTTCAGGGCTAGAGCTATAGTATAGTGGGTAGGGTGTTTGCCTTGCATGCGGCTGACCCAGATCAAATTCTTGGCATCCCCTGTTGTCCTCTGAGTCTGCCATGAGTAAGCCCTGAGCACTGCCAGAAAAGCAGTAAATTTCTATTTTCATGACTTTGTGCATATTTGAATTGTGTCCCAATATAAGAATTTTCCATGTGTACTGGAGTACAATGAGTACTTTTTCAGGATGGAGGGTTCTGTATATGTCTTTTAATCCCTGTTCTTAACATTTCTCATTTAGGGCTCTGTCTGTTGATCTTGCCTAGTGATGAAACTTAAAAGTCTCCCACTACTATTGTGTTGCCATCGATGTAACTCCTCGAGTCTATCAGCATTTGCTCTAGAAATTTTGCCCCCTCTTCATCTGGTGCATTTATGTTGATGAAAGCTAAATTCTTTTACTTTACCGATCCCCTAACTCTTAATGGGTATGTAATTCCTGTGCCTATTTCTTATTATTTTCTATAGCTTAAATGATTACAAGTATAGCCAGCCCTGTTTTTTTAAAAAAATTTTTTATTGAATATCCATGAGATAGACCATTACAAAGCTGTTCATGATTGGGTTTCAGTCATACAATGATCCAGCAACCATCACTCCATTAGTGTACATTTCCCACCATCAATGTCCCCTGTTTCCCTCCCACCATCCCCCAACAGCCCTCCCCCAGCCGACCTCTGGCAGGCATTTTTCTTCTCTCTCTCTCTCTCTCTCTCTCTCTCTCTGTCAGGATGGGCTACCTCCCCCCACCTCCCTATTCTTCCCGGAAGCCCTAGCAGTCATGTTCACACTCCAAAGCTGCCACCCTCTTAAAAAAGCTACTCTAGCTGGGCCTTCCTGGTAAAAATACTGAATGCCCTGAACAAACATGAATACCTCTTAGTACTTGTAAAACCATAATGCACAAAAGGAAGGGGGGGAGAGAGAGAGAGAGAGGGAGGGAGGAGAGAGAGGAGAGAAAGAAAAAGAAAGAAAGATCATGGGAAGGGGGGCTTTGTGGGCCGTCCCCCACGCCCCACCGAGGTCGCCAGCTGCCCCCCACGAGCGGCTCTCCGGCACGGCCACGGCCCCGGAGGCACAAGGACTTAGCACAGAGAACCAGCCGCTTGGAGCAGAAAAGCAAATGGACTTGTGTTGATCCGCGCCACCAAGCCTGCCCGGAGGGGGAAGGGCGTTGACCGGCCCGCCCGCTCCTCTCTGGAAAGAAAGATGGCGGCCGCACGGGAGCCTTGTGGAAAGCGGGTTTGAGCCGGGCTCGGGGAAGCGGCGGGGACCTCATGGGAAGGGGGGCTTTGTGGGCCGTCCCCCACGCCCCACCGAGGTCGCCAGCTGCCCCCCACGAGCGGCTCTCCAGCACGGCCACGACTCCAGGGCACAGAAATCAATCTCTTAACTAGCTAACTTTTAATAGAAATTCTTCCAGGGTCAATAAGTAAAATAGCAGAAATTCAAAACCGCGCGGCCGCGATAGCGGCCGCGCGACATCATTTTATTCTTAAACCAAGTTGTAGAAAGCAAATCATTTCACAACGCTGTTTCAGCATGTCTGATTGGGGGGGGGGGGGTGGGTCGTAAACTCTAAACAATAATTGTGCATCTTCTATCGAAATAATCTATCTAGTCAAAGTAGATAGAGTATTAACTAGAACTCATCTGCCTCATAAGAATTGGGAGGGGTGGGAGGTGGGGGTCTATTGGGGTTCGGGGTTAAAAATGAGTATTGGTAAAGGGAAATGTGTTCGGTATCTACATGACTGAGACCTAAACCCGAAAGCTCTGTAACTTTTCCCACAGTGATTCAATAAATAAATAAATTATAAAAAAAAAAAAAAGAAAAAAGAAAAAGAAAGAAAGAAAGAAAGAAAGAAAAAAGTTGCCTACCATGGAGGCAGACAAATGGGGGGTGGAGCTAGTGGGGTGATTGGAGGAAAATTGGGGACATTGGTGGTGGGAAACATACACTGGTGGAGGGATGGGTATAGGAACATTGTATGACTGAAACCCAATCATGAATAGTTTTGTGATGGTCTATCTCACAGTGATTCAATTAAAAAAAAAAGAATTGAGAGCCCAGAGATAACCCTCAGCTGTATCAGTTTATCTATGCTTAATCATTATCTTATATTTTCATAAACTATTCATTTGTTGGGCTGGAGTGATAGCACAGCGTGTAGAGCATTTGCCTTGCACGTGACTGACCTACCCAATCTGGGATCAATTCCTCCACCCCTCTCGACCTGGCAAGCTACCAAGAGTATCTCGCCCACACGGCAAAGCCTGGCAAAGCTACCCATGATGTATTCGATATGCCAAACACAGTAACAAGTGCCACAATGGAGATGTTACTGGGCCTGCTCGGGAAAACCGATGAACGGGAGGACAGTGACAGTGATCCATTTGTTGTGTTTTTATTTTTGTTGGATTTGAGGGGCAGTAGCTGGCAGGACTCAGCACTTATTCCTGGCTCTGTCCTTCGGGTTCACCCCTGATCATGCTCCAGGAACTTTAGACAGTGCATGTAGAATTCGCATTGAAAGTATAGTGGGATTCAGTTTATATTCCAAGCCTTTCTGTCACATTATTCAAAATCTTTTTCTGGGCCTGGAGGAACAGGTCAGTGGCTTAGAGTACTTGCCTTGAGAGTGTAACTCATTGTGTTCAGTCCCAGACTGTGCCACCCACATTGAGTGCAACGCTGGCAGTTTTGTGCTCTGTGATCCCTGGGGCTGCAAGTGATTTCCAGTCAGTCCACAGCCAGGCATGTGCTGGTCCCTTAGCACACCTGACACACATACCCGTCCTATAGCCTTCAGTGAGCACTACAGGGAGAACTCTGGGCTCCACCATGGAAAAATGTGAGCCCCGGCTGGGAGTCACTCAGTGGTGGAATATTGGCCTCACATCACACACACACACACACACACACACACACACACACACACACACAGGGCACGTGTGCAGACATGTAGAGAAGTGCAGCTCAGTGGGCAGCGAGGCTGTGCGTGAGCACCGCTGCCTGATCTGCAACCCCTCAGCCAGGTGCCGTGTGCAGCCTCCGTGACACAGCGGTGCAGTGGGGGAAGGGAGGATGGGGGGCATTTCTGTTGGAGAGTTGAGAGTCCAATTCTTTCTGCCTCTAACGCTCGCCCAGCTGTTTTCATCCTGTTACGCAGGGGGAGGAGGTTGAGGAGATGCTTTCTCGTCTCATTCCCAAGTCAGGATCTTGGATGTGTCAATTCTAGACCTTTAAGAGACCCTAAATGTAGACCAGAACTGGCAGTAGTATTAACAAAAGTCACCCGTTTCTGAAACTGTCTCCTCTGTCATCACTGCTTTGAAATGATTTATTAGAACCTTTTGCTGTATATCTTATAGAAGTACACATTAGTATATGTCATGCATTATCTTATGTTATACATTTATGTATATATTATGTATATTAGTGTATATAGTATTTAACGGAGGCACATATTAGTATATTACAATCTTTTAAAATATTTGATACGTCTTAGTATAACTAGTTTTCTTTGTGATTTGCATATTTTATCTCACATATTCTGCAACATGTGAGTCGATCTATAAGGTTTCACTTTTCTGTAGCATGACAAGGTTAAGAACCCTTCCCGGGCAGCTTCTTCCTCCACTTCCGTCTGCTCTCCCTTCCCTTCCGGTTTCTTTGTTTTTAGTCTCTATGTTCTTCCTGAACTTTCTTCTCTTGACATAATTCACCTGCTAATGGATCATACCCTGCAGGTTGTAAACATTCAGCCACTGATTATAAAAATGATTTTGAATGAGAGTTTTGTACACACACACACACACACAAACACACAAACACACACACACACAATGTGTCGTCATAATTCTTCCTAAGGCTGTCCCCGTACTTATCATATATACATTTTTACCACTTATGTTTGTGAAAGTTATGAATCCTATCAGATTATCTTAACCGTCTTCTCATTGTAGGAGACCTGTAGCGATGATTTGTTTTGGTCTGGGTTCTAAGGAAATAGCTCTGGCTCCTCTTCCGCCTCTCCTCCCGGACTCCGCTACCTCCTTTCCTGCTTCTCTTACCCTCCCTGTTGAGTTCTCCTATTTACTTTTTTCTTTTTGTTTTTGGACACACCCAGCAGTGCTCTTGTTTAAGTCCTGACTGTGCTTAGGGATCGATCACTCCTTTTGAGGTTCAGGGACTATACTGGGTGCCAGGGATCGAGCCTGGGTTGGGTATGTGCAAGGTAAGAGCCTTGCCCACTGTGCTCTCTCTCTGGCCCCTGTGCCCACCTTCTTTTTCCCGCCCCCGTTTTTTTTTTTCACATTTGTTTCTCTAGTTCGATGGGGATTCATTACAATTTCACTTACTTTCTTCCCTTTTCATATTGTTTAATATTGAATATTAATTTAATATTAATATTGAAAAATAGTTTTACTTCTCCAGGTGATTTTGTCAAGAGAAATCTCTTCTTTGTTGGTTATGGAAGGCAAAAGCATCATGGCTCTAATTCCGTGATATTCCTTATGTTTTAGTTGACAAGGAGATGATGCAAAGAATAAGGGAAAAATCTATTTTACAAGCCCAAGAAAGAGCAAAAGACGCGACAGAAGCAAAGGCTACAGCAAAGCGGGAAGATCAAAAATACGCACTAAGTGTCATGATGAGGGTAAGTTTCCTATTGCTAGTAAAGTCTCAGTGTAACCGGGAATCCGTGAGATAGTAAATTTCCATAGTAAATTAGGTAATTTTCTACAAAAATCATTTTTCCACTGATCCACATCCCTCAACCCCTAAAATGTGGTAGTTCCTGAGTAATGGCAACAGTTCTTTTTTTTTTTTTAATTTTTGATAGTGAAACACCATGAGTTACAGTTGTAGACTTATAAATTTTTGTGCTTTGGTTTCAGTGATCGAATCCCAGCCCTCCACCAATGCCCATTCTTCACCACCACTAATCCCAGTATCCCTCCCACCTCCCATCCCCTCCGTCCCACCCTGCCTCTGTGGCAGGGCACTCCCTTTTGTTCTCTCTCTCTCCTTTTGGGTGCTGTGGTTAGTAATGGCAATAGTTCTTAAAGAAATGATTAGCAGGCTATAAGAATCAGTTTGCTAGTTTGTCAGTATTGTCCTCTATTTATTTTAAAAGTAACTTAGAGTTTTCAGTGTGTGAGTTTTCCATATTCTTTGTTAAGTTGATTCCTAGACGTTTGTTGTTTTTGACCAATAATTTTAATGGGAGCTGGAGTGATAGTACAGTGGGTAGGGTGCTTGCCTTGCACATGGCTGACCTGGTTTCAATCCCGGCACCCCAGATGGTCTCCTGAGCACTGCCAGAAGAGGTCCCTGAGTATAGAGCCAGGAATAACTCCTGAGTGCCACCAAGTGTGGCCCAAAAACAAAAACAAAAATATTTTAATGGGACTGGTTTTATAAAAAAAATTCTCCTAGTCAATGATTGCATAGAAATGCATTACATTTTTCTCTGTTTTGTAGTGTGTACTTCAGCAAGCCCGCTATCATCAGATTCTCTGTTTTCATTTACTGGGAAAATTTGTTAATTTTTTTTCTAAGAATAATGATTTTGCTGGATATGGAGTTTGTGTGAATATTTTTGTTCACTCAGTTCTTGGAATATGTCACTTCACTGCTTAGGTATTTCTACTGAGAAGTACTCTTTCAAACTTCATCGTGGAACTAGAGCGACAGCTCAATGGACTGACCTCATGCTTTACCACATGGTCCCCTGAACATTACTGAAACTCACCACCCCGCTCCCCTCCCCCCTCCCCACCTCCAGCAGAGAGTCAGGTTTGGGCTCTCTTAAAATCATTAAATAAATAAATCAATCCCATTTGCTTAATGATCATTATTCCTATCACTGTATTCTGGAGAGAGCCCCAGTGGTGTTTGGAGGAACATATGTAGCACAAGGCAATCTCTTTAACCCTTTGTACATAGTGAGTCCTTTTTCTTTTTCTTTCAAGGTTTTCCTTTTTATGTTAGTGTTTGTACTAACCTAGCAGATGGACTCATTTGTATCTAGAGCCAGCTCTGTGTTTATTTTACCTTGGATTTGTTTCTAGGTGCATTTCTTTGTGTTTATTTTATTTTGGATTTGTTGAGTTCTTTCTTTTTTTCAATTGAATCACTGTGAGTTGGGCCATTACAAAGTTGTTCATGATTGGGTTTCAGCTATACAATGTTCCAACACCTGTCCCTTCACCAGTGTCCATTTCCCATCATCAGTGTCCCCAGTTTCCCTCCCCGCCCCACGCCTGCCTCTGTGGGAGGCACTTCTCTCTCTCTCTCTCTCTCTCTCTCTCTCTCTCTCTCTCTCTGTCTCTCTCTCTCTGTCTCTCTCTGTCTGTCTGTCTCTCTTTGTCTCTCTCTCCTTTCTCCTTTTGTGCATTATGGTTTGCAATACAGGTGCAATTCAGGTCTCTACTAGTCATTGTATTTGTTCAGGGAGTTCATTATTTTTATTGGGAAGGTAGCTGGAGTAGCCTTTTTTAATTAAGTGTCACCTTTGGTGTGTGGATGTGACTGCCAGGGTTTCTGGAAGTACAGGAGGTGGGGGAAGGCAGCCCCTCCTGACCCTGGGAAAGCCTGGAGATTTCAGTCACAAAACCCAAGTACCTGAATTTTTAGCAGATTCATATCTTGGTGAGGTCAGTCCTGAAACACTAGAGTCTTGCCAGGGGCAAGGGGGTGATTTGGATTGTGGGAGAAGCAGCTGCTGGGGGCTATATTTGGGCAAGTACTGGACTCACCCTTGTGCCCCAAATTGTTCACCCATGCACTGGTCTAAGAAGATTTACTGCACTTTTTTTTTTTTTAAATTTCTTTCATGACTGATTTATGAGTCTCTGGAGCAAGGCTGATAAGTGTGCTTGTATGGAGAGACTGATTTGGTTAGGGATTTAATTTCTCAGAAACCTTGGTCCCTAGTTGTGGGGATCTGGCTGGAGGCACAGCGGCAACTTTGGGGTGTCAGGAAGCCTGAGGGCACCATCAGCCTGCTGGTGCACTCACCCCGTCTCCAGGTTGACCCACTGGTGGTGCTGCGCCCTCTAGGTCTCAGTGGTGGTAGTGGCAGCGGCCAGCGGCATGGAGGGCTGATACAGGGAAGCAGTGGTGAGGGGTATCCCCTGGGGGCAGCAAACCACCAAGGGTATCCCAGCAGGCCCTCACGGTGGGAGCCCGGGGGCCGTGCTAAGCAGTGTGTCAGGTTGGGCCCCGAGTGCTCTGTTCATTCATGCTGCTATCCTTAGCGCTGAGAGCGACCACAGCTCCACCAGCTTCATCTTCATGAACCCCACTCCTGACCACTCCCTGTCGCGGGCGCCAGGAGGGTTTTGAAAGACACTGCTTTTGAGAGAGGATGTTTAAAGGACACTTACGTTATTTCACGCAGAAATTTTGCGACCCCGTCGGCTTGCTGTTCAGAGTACCGGGAGCTGCCATCACTCCGCCAGTTCTGGCACCTGCCACCTTCTTGTCTCCTGGGTTTTTTGAGTTTCTTGGAGCTATAGATTGAGCAGTTATTTGTTGTTTTTTTTTAAATTAATTTTTTATTAATTCACCTTGAGGTTCAGCAACAAAAATTTCATGTTTGAACTTTGATCATATGGTCATCAAATACCCATCCCTTCGCCAGTGCACATTTTCCACCACCAAAATCCCCAGTATCTCCCCTCCCCCCATTCCACACCTTCCCATGCCTGTGTGGCAAACAATTTGCAAAATACTCTTTCTTTATTTTAGTTACCTTCGATATTTTAAGACCAGTCCTACCACCCCTCATACCTGCCAAAAATGCAATGCTAGACAATGTGTTTTGTATTGCTTGTTAAGATTTCCATAATTAGGGTCTGCAGAAATTGCTACAGCAAGTTGCTCAGGTTCGTGATTCATTTGTGGGTCTCTGGATCGTGGCCGTGTAGGAGCTTAAGTAGATGGTGGGCAGATGTGCATCATCTCGGTGTCCCATTGGGGCGGGGTTGGGGGGATGGAGGAGGGCCCACTCCTCCCCTGTCCTGCGAGACTTGTGATTTACCTTCACCGTGACTTGTACCTGGAGCTTCTCCCTGACTTCTAGAAAATGGCAACCACTGGGGCTCTTAGAGGGCAGGCGGAGGGACAACACCTGCCCCTGTCTGGAGCAGCCCAGCAGAGAAGGCCCATTGCAAAGTCTCGGGCCATCTCTGCGGCAAGTTGCTCGGGTCCAAGATTCGTTTGTGTGTCCTAGAGTAAACAGTTTTACCACTTGTTTTTCTAAAATACTTCTGGTTGAAAGCTAGACATTTTAGGGGCCAGAGAGATAATATAGCAATTAGGGTGCTTGACTTGCACATTGCTGACCAGGGTTCAATCCCTGCATCTCATATGGTCCATCAAGGACTGCTAGGAGAGTTCTTGAGTGTAGAGTCAGGAGTAACCCCTGAGCATTGGGTGGCCCCCAAACAAACAAACAACCCCTCCCTCCCACAAAAATATATATAGCCTAGACATTTTAGTTAATAGATTATGGCAATTCCTGCTTTGTTTGTTTATTTTTAGTAACTTGTCTGTAATTTATTTATTTATTTTAGTAATGTAGGAGCACTCCTATTTCTTCAGCCATTGATTAAGCTGATGGGGCATGAACTCCACTTTTTTTTTTAATTGTATCACCATGAGATAGAATTATAAAGCTTTCATGTTTGAGATTCAGCCACGCAATGACAGAACACCCATCCCTTCACCAGTGCACATTTTCCACCACCCACATCCTCGTCCTCACCCTGCCTCTATGGCAGACAATTTCCCCAATACTTTCTCTCTAATTTTTTTAAAATTTATTTATTGAATCACTGTGAAAACAGTTACAAAGCTTTCAAGTTTAAGTCTCGGTCATACAATGATCAAACACCCATCCATTCACCAGTGCACATTTTCCACCGCCAAGGACCCAAATATACCCCCCATGCCACCCCCTCCGCCTGCCTGTGAGGCAGATGATTTCCACTTAACTCTCTCTCTACTTTGATTACATTCATTATTTTGACAACAGATGCACCATTATTATTTGGAATTTTCCCCCAACAATCAAAACTGCTGCAAAGGCATCATGAAATAATTTCTTTTCTATTGCTGGTTATGAAGACCATGTAATGTCGCACAGTCACGGTAGCAGCTGTGCAATTTTGGATTTCTGATATTTTACGAATTAAGTCTGGCGGGATTTCTGCCAAAAGCCGCATAGTTCTGAGATTGGTTTGTGTGCCTCTGGGGCCATGGCTGTGCTGGAGAGCCGCTCGTGGGGGGCAATTCATGGTATAGGCAGGGCAAGAAAGACATGCCAGTTCCGCCCCCCATCCCATGAGGCCGTAGTTGCCCCGTCACCACCGGCTCATAGCTGGCTGTCCAATAAGCTCAGAGGCAGTGGCCACCATGCCACGGGAGCGGGGGGAGGGATGGCGAAAGAGACACCCTTTCCCTCCTGGTGGGGAGGCACACAGCACCATAGCTTAATGTATAGTCCATTCACATTTCTGCCAGAAGCTGCTGGGTTCCATATTAGGTCTGTGTGCCTCTGGGGCCATGGCTGTGCCGGAGAGCCACGCGTGGGGGGCAACTTGTGGTCTTGGCAGGGCAAGAATGCTCTCTCTCTAATTTTGGGCATTA